TGTGCTTGACGTCTAAAGTATTCAAGCAATGCAGTCGCATCACCATACTCCATTGATAACGTCCTCACTGTTCGCAGATGGTTCTTCAAATCATTCTTTGTGAACCCAACAAACTTCCGACCACCACCAGCCCTACTAATTGCATTATACGAAGAAGTCACACCAATACCAGCAGCATCATTCAACTCTGCCAACATCTTATACACAGGAGCCATTCGTATGCTGGATCTCACATAGTGACGCAGAGACTCAGGAATCATGTCATGGTTGTGCACATTATACCAACGATAGATCTGGTAGCATTTAAACTCTTTAAACCACCTCAGTCGTATATAAGCACCATTACATCCACCCCTGAGTTCTGGAACATTACGAACACGAACATTCGTATCAACAACACCTGCATTATCAGGGTTATTCTCGCTACCTGTTCTCCAACCTTCCTTATTGCAACAATACTTGATATAATATACAGCTGAAGAACCACCATTGAGCTTCGGACACGCTGATTGGTTATAAATCCTCACACCAAAACCTTCATGATTCCCATAATCCACATAGAAATTGTATGCATCATCTGATGTATTAAACTGTAAGTCCTTCCAAGAATCATGAACAGTAGGATATATACCATTGAAACCTATAAACATTATGAAGCAACATATTAAATATGTACAAATATAATACCACCATGGTATGATATGGTAAAATGGATTCCACACCACAACAGTATGAAATCTCAATGTCTACCAATAATTACATCCATGATACAAGAGTTACCACCATGGTATAATATGGTAAAATGAATTTCATGCCACAACAGAATCACATCTCATCATATTACCACACTATACCACATGGTATAGCATGGTAAAACCAAACTACCACACTATACCACATGGTATGGCATGGTAAAATCAAATTACCACACTATACCATATGGTATGCCATGGTAAAATCAAACTACCACACTATACCACATGGTATGACATGGTAAAATCACTTACAGCAGCAACAAAAATCCCAAAAAACCACACTATACCACAAACTATACATGATAACATCAAATTACCATATTTTACCACATGGTATGACATGGTAAAATCAATTATCACACATAACCCCACCTTTAACTTGAAACTACCACATTATACCACATGGTCAGGCATGGTAAAATCAAATTACCATATTTTACCACATGGTATGACATGGTAAAATCAATTATCACACATAACCCCACCTTTAACTTGAAACTACCACACTATACCACATGGTAAGGCATGGTAAAATCAAATTACGACACTATACCGATGATTCCAACCATGGTACAAGTAATTACCACCATGGTATGATATGGTAAAACTTAAATACAGAGCACAATAACATCACAGCACAACACAACACTATATTATCACCTCTCATCGTATACCAGTAATTACCACCATGGTACCATATGGTATCTAACACATTCAAACTTCAGTAAACAAACAAATTTGTATATCTTACCTCCTGATTCACCAGAGTTAGCTGAATGACCAAATCCAAGATCGATAGATGAAGAAGCAGTTCCAACAATGCTAGATGAAGAACCAGATCCTACAACGCTGGTTGAAGAACCAGATCTATCAAACGGAACAACATCGTCACAATTTACGTAACTCATCTCACCAGAATACTGCAAAAAAACCAAAACACAAAGAACATAACACATGAACAAGCTCGATTAGCTAAACAGAACACACAAAAGAAACTCAGAGAAAGTAAATTCTACAAAACCTACAACGAAACTAGAGAAACTCAAACACGCTCGATTAGCTAAACATGAACAAGTTCGACTAGCAGCAATGAAAAACCTCCAACGAAACCAGAGATCGTCAAAACGCTCAACGAAACCAAAGATAAACAGAAAACTCGATTAGCTAAACAGGAAGAATAAAAAAAACTAATATCTAACCTCGCCGTCGATCAATTAGGGAGAATCAGAAAGCTCGATTCGATTAGCTGCTGCTCGCAGTTTCTATCGTCGTCGGTCAATTATGGAGAATCAGAAAAGATTCGCAGTCACCTGTTTCTCAACTGCTGCTCGCAGCTTTCTCTCTCCAAAAACCGAATCCAACTCGCGCACACGTCGATCAATTAGGGAGAATCATAAACCTCGATTCGATTAGCTGCTGCTCGCAGTTTCTATCGCCGTCGATCAATTATGGAGAATCTTCGTCCCCTGTTTCTCAGCTGCTGCTCGCCAGTTTCTCTCTCCAAAAACCGAATCCAACTCGCACACAGAAAAGATTCGCAACGAACAAAAGGGGGAAGTCATTAATTCAAATTTCGTACAAAACTGCCCCTGACCATCACCGCATCAACCACAGCCACACGATCAGCCCGGCCCAGATCTACGGTCCTAAGGTGGTTACTCACGGGTGAGTAACATAGGGTTACTCACCCTATCCTAAGCCGCTAAGGGGAACCTCCATCTTCAAGATATTCAAACTTTCAATTGAGAGATTTGCACCCCTTTCACCTTGGGATGGCATTTCAGACCCGCTCCGAAAGGTATTCCCCGACTCGTCTCTTGATGGGGCTTGGTTAAATCTATGAACTTAGACGTAAAGCTCTTATTTAAAGGGTCGTTTAGCTGAGAGATTTATGAAGGATTTGTGCGCAAATCTCTAATTTAAAAACCCCAAAAAATTAAATTGGTTATTTGTACAAATCACTTGAAAGTTGAAATTGCCCCAACTTTACAACCGAGTTATTCTGTCGAAATAGAAGAGAATGAGTGATTTGGGGAAAATGATCTCACCCAAAATCCTCATCCAATTTATGGGCCGCTCTCCACATTCTCTCTAAGTGCTCAAAATGATTATATATGTTTTATTTTCTTTGAAGTTGATAGCACAATAATTCCAATTTGGTACCTTCGTTAAGTTTGTGGACGAAAATTGTGATGGTGCAACTGAAATTGAACTTATGTAATTTAGTTGCAACAAAAATGAGTTAGATAATTAATTAATGCGCAATGCACCCTATACTTAAGTGGCATAACATGCATTTAACCCTACTTTTGTCATACTATAAGTTGTGGCATTCAATAAAAACTTATGGTCTATGTCTCGAGCACTCGTGATTACAAATTATGACATTATTTGCTTGACTCGAACTCTCTCGGCCTCTTTGGACTTGAAATTCTCGACTCGCAGTATCATGAGATGGTGCATGGGTATTGCTTCCGACCTGTCATGCCCCGTTCTCGATCCAGTCTATCATTATTTGTATCAATATCAACAAATATTTATCATACATTGACCTTTCTAAATCATTTTTCATCCGAAACAAATTTTAGAACTCTTTTTTCCAACTACCTAGACTCAATAATTTTTCAACTATCTAGACTCAATTACTTATTCTATTGTATTTCTCATTCATTTATAAAGTGAGTGTTTTTTTTATTCTTGTGGCAGAGTTAAATATAAAATTTTTTCAAATAAGATATAATAATGGGCCGAGACTCGTCTCGCCCATACCCAGGCGGGCGTTACCCACCCTAGTCAGCGCTTGGTGCAGGGTGTGCAGATGAGTATGACGATGCCACACGCTCATTGTCTATCACTACCTGTCACATGTTACAACACACGAAAAACCGGTCCAAATGGGGTCGAAGAGGTACCAGCTCAGTTACAATTAGAGGTGGCAATTTCAATCCAATCCACCAATCCAATCCATCAATTCATTAAAAATATCCACCTAATCCAATCCATTTTATCCAAATCCAATTGGATTGGTGGATTCATGGATTGGATTCATGGATCATTGGCAAATTATGGTTTAGTACCTACAATTTTTATTTTTTACATTTTGGTACCTAAAATTTAATTTTTTATACGAAAAATATCATTGGAAAATTACGTTTTGGTACCCAAAAATTTTTATTATGACATTTTAGCACCTAAACTTTTTACATTTTACATATTGGTCCTTGGTTGAGGATGTCATTTGGATTCATGGATAATCCACCAATCCACTTGATCCAATCCATGAATCCACCAATCCATTACATCCAATCCATTTGATCCATGGATCCACCAATCCATTTGCCACCTCTAGTTACAATCAAATACCCAGGCACATTCCAAACCCGGGTGTCACCCAAAATAAGGACTTTCACTTTGGGTTAGAAATGGCAATGGGCAGGTTCGGGGCGGGTATCTCGATACCCATACTCGTCACATGGCAGGTTGTGTCCAGGTCGGGTAATTTATTATGGGGCACGGATCGGGGCAGGTCAACCAATGGGTGTGTAATTTATGTGAAAATATTAGAAATATTAGTTATTTTCATTAAAAGACCAAGAAAAAACCATAATATGATAAAATCTAGTTAAATTATTGAAGAAATTGATGTTTTCACTTAATTGCAACTTTATTATAACTAAAATATAATGTAATAAGTGGAAAATCCTAAGTAATTTGACTAAGATTATATGTAATTTAGGCAAGAACGGGTCGAGAATGGGGCGGATCAGGGCACGTCGGGTCGATGAGAAGTACCATGCCCGCCCCGCCCAAAACAGACCAAATAGGTCGGGTAAATCGGGTCAGTTCAAAATTTCCATCCCTACTTTGAGGGCCCGGATAGTATAACAACACCTTAAGTGTTGTTATACTAACAACAGGATTCATTAAGGGTATAAGGGTAAACTTACCTAAAATCAAATTAAATTAAAATTAAATTAAATTCCCAGATCGCTCTCGATCTCCTCCCCTACCTTTCCCGACCGCTTCTCCTCAATCCTCTCTTCTGCCGCCGTCGTCGATCATTCTCCTCCAATCTCAGGCAAGCAGTGATCCTCAATCCGCCACTGTCCTGGACGAATTCGAAGGCATCGAAGAAGGCGACGTCGAAACGGCCTGTCGAGAAGAAGAAAACGACGAGGATCAGGATCTTGACTACCTCCGTCGACACTGGGGGCCTCTTTAGCAGTGAAGGAGGCCCGGAGGACTATGAAGGCGCAGAAGAAACAGAGTTTAGCGACGCGACTAGGAGGAAGGACAGACGAGGAGGGCGCAGGAGGAGGAGGAAGAAGGCGGCAACGGCGGCGGAGATTGGGTCCCGGCGCGGCTGTCGCGGTTCTGGCAGTGGGTGATGCCGTGCAGGGTGGAAGGAAAGTGAAGGAGAGCTACGCGGTGGTGAAGAGGTCGGAGGATCAGAGAGAGGATTTCAAGGCCCAGGAAAATATTTATTCCAAAGAAGCTGAAAGATAAGGCAAGATATTTTCCATGGCGGACATGGTAAGGGAGAAGGAGATGTTTGAGGAGAAGGATCTGAAGCATGTCAATTAATTCTCCCTGTCTCGTTCTAACTGCATTGGTTGACCCTAAAGCTATGAGATAACTTAAATTAATAGGAAACAATGTCGAAAGGAATTGAGCCATGAGACGCTGATGACAATCAAAAGATAAAGCAAGATAGGCACCTGCATGCAGCTGCTTTGAAATAAATATTTATTTTTGGTAGAATGGAATAAATATTTTGAAAACACAAAGCAAAACATAAATATTTTGAAAAGCACAGCAGATATCCCCTAATGCAAGCCACAAACACGGTAAAGCAAACCACAATAGAGCAAACAAAAAACGTCCTAATGCATACCACAAATATATTAAAACAAACCAGAAACGTCATAATGCAGACCAAAAATATATTAAAACAAACCAGAAATCCCGCAAAGTAAACCACAAAAGTTTCGAAAACACACCAGAAACTTCTTAATGCAAACCAGAAACCTCCTAATACAAACCACAAGTCTCCTAAAACATGCTAGAAACCCCGCAAAGCAAACCACAAAATATGTCATAAGCACACCAGAAACCTTCTAATGCAAACAATAAACACAATAAATCAAACCACAAAAAAGCAAACCATAAACGTCCTAATGCAAACCACAAATATATTAAACAAACCAGAAACCTCACAATGCAAACCACAATTTTTTTTGAAAGCAAACCAGAAACTTCTTAATGCAAAACACAAACACGATAAAGCAAACCACAAAAGGCATACAAAAATATGAGAAACCAAACCATAAATCTCACAATGCAGACCATAACATCTGGTGGTCGTTGACCGTTGACTGGTCAACGAAAATCGTTGACCAAACTCCGATGACCGTCAGTGAGCAAATTCTGGCGCTGATAGGCATATTCCGGCCCCGATGACTAGATTTCGACGCCGGTAAGCATATCCCAACGTCGGTGAACATATTCCGGCGACAGTGGCATATTCCGACGACAAAATAGCATATTCCAGCGACAAAAAACATATTCCAGTGACCGACGACCGGTGGCAGAATTCCGGCGACCGGTGGCAGAATTCCGGCTACCAAAATTTATGAAAAAAATTAAAAACAAATTATTATTTTTTTTATTATTTAAACATATTTTTCATAATGACAATTATACTCCTGCTTTGATTTTATACTAGATGAACTCAACTAATAAAAAATCATCACAATCCTACCTTCTATTGATTGGAGACTCCTATTGATTGGAGACTAGTGTTTTTACAAGGGCTAATACCACTACAACACCCGAACTATCGCGAAAATGCCATTTGTGTCCTATTGTTTCCAATATTCCATCTGTGTCCTGAACTATGATACTTTGTGTCATTTGTATCCTGTCAATTTCGTTGACCGTTAAAGATAACGGTTGACCAAACGGTGGTCAACGCGAAGTTGACTTTTGTTGACGTGGCAAAAAAGGAGGCTGCCACATAGGTGCCACGTCATTGACCTAATATTTTTTTAATTCAAATTAAATAAAAAAATGAGTTAAAATTAAAGAAAATGTAAATTCAATTATGTTATTAAACCAAAATTTTAAAACAAAATAATAAAAAACTCTTCTTCTTCTCTACCGATTCACACTCTCCCTCGCTGAAAAATCTCCCAATTCAGCTCAGATGCACCAACTCGCCAACTCGCCAAAAATCTCCCAATCCGGCTCTGAGAATCTCTCTGAAAGATAACCCAACTCGCCAATCTTTCATCGTGCCGCTACTATGGCCGGAACCCAGAGAATGGGGTTAATTGAAAATCAAAATCCCAAATCGGGTAATCGCCAGAATCCAAATCGATTCTTTTGAATCCCATCATCGGAGACAGAGGGATTCTCAGCCCATGATTCATGTTCAATGATGGAAGATTTTGGCGATGAATCTAGAGAGGATTTGCGTAGGCGACGGTTAATCTTCCTACTCTCGCCCATGCTCGATTAAGAAAGAGAAAGGAAGAAGATGGAAGTTGCAGTAGTGGGGTGGCTTGGGGTTGGGATAAAACATACCCGCCGCTAAGATGGGGGAGGCAGAGACATCCAGATTGGAAGTAGAGAGAGAGAGAGAGAGAGAGAGAGAGAGAGAGAGAGAATCGGCGATCTGGAGAAGAGAAGTAGGTCGCCAGTGGAAGGAGCGATGGTGCCGCCGAGCTACTGGCTCCAATCGATGGCGCCGCCTCCAGATCCTCGAAACCCCTTCAGCTTGTTACGTTTGTGTCGGCTGTGTTGGGGAAGAAAGGAAGGAGCGATGGTGCCGCCGAGAAAATTGCAGCAGGAAGTCATGGAGGGGGATTCGGGGAAGAAGAGGTAGGATTTTTTTTATATTTTAATTATTTCCTTTTTCTTATTTTATTAATATTAGATGGAAAAAAATAATATTAAAAATTCCGCGTCAGCTGCCACATCAGTGCTGACTAGATTTTTTGTTAAAAACTAACGGTCAACAAAAGTCAACACTAACGGAATCATAGTTCAGGACACAGATAGAATATTGGAAACAATATGACACAAGTGGCATTTTCGCGATAGTTCGGGTGTTGTAGTAGTATTAGCCCTTTTTACAATAACAACAAAAATATGTGTTGTCATTATATCCTGTCGCCTACTTTGGGTAGTCAAGAACGAAGAGGAGAATCGCCGCACAGGAAAAGACAGATCTTAAGTTTTGGGAAAGGCCCAAGAGAGTAGAAGCAAAAGCAAACATGCACCAACCTGCCTCCTTCCAACAATTTACGTTGCCACTCATCTTCCAATTTAGATCCAGAATAACCCCTTCGGCCATCCGTTCTGTTTATTCCAGTACACCATTTTACAGCAGAGAATAGAAAGAAAACTACAAATTACGACGAGGATAGAAACATACAGAGAGCTGTAGTAGTAGTAGTAACAGAAGTAGACTATTGTTGCTGGGGCGATGACATGGGAAATGAAAGGATGGTTGGAGGAAGTCTGATAATTGAATTGTTTAAGGGCACTTGGGCCTGCCCCTGTTGTCCCTCATGTCCCTGTAGCAAGGGCACTCCGATTTATTGCCGTAGGTGCCAGAAGGGACGCAGGTTCTGCACTTTGTACAGCAGACGTTGCAGTACTTGACGCACCTCTCCTTGTACCCTGCTGTCTTGCATCTCGCCTCGCACTTGGAGTCGCACACTCCTCCTACTGCGTTTTTGCAATATGTGTCATTCTAAATCAGTTGCATGGCTGCAATTAATCCAGAGTAGAAGCACACAGCAGAAGTACATAATATGAAAGACAGGAACGTATGTATGTTCGATCTTGTGGAATATACCTGGGGGTGATGGAGTATAAGCAAGAGAGAGCTGGAGGAAAGAGGAGGCAACCACCATTGAAGTTAGCAGCAGAGTTGGTAACAAAAGCTTCATTTTTATTTTTCCTTCTTCTTCTTCTCTCTGGTTTCTTATTCTGCTTTTTGGGGTCTGTTGTGGGAGTCAGTGGGAGTGCAGGCATGATTTATAGTGCTGCTACTGTTGGGGATTGTTGGGGAGGAGTGGCCAAAATATGGGGAGGGATACAGGTGGGCTTATGGCCCAAAGACCAACAACAACAACAACAAAAGTGCAAAAGACACACAGCTTTAATTGATGATTAAGGTTTTTGACCTCTTGCTGGACACTTGCAAAAAAATGGAGGTTGATGATGGCAACCTTCTGCTTGTTACAGTGCTTTCCAATTCAATTCATAATCATGCCCTAGCAATATTATAAATATTTTATTCAGAACAATTGAGAAAAATTCGGATGACAAATTCAGAAATTCTAAGTGTAATTTGAAATAAAATAAAAAACTAAGGGGCAGTTTGGATGGGTTAATTGTCAACGTGGTATTTGTAGAGTCAAATAACTCATTTATTGTTCATGTGTTATTTCAGTGGTAATTGAAATAAAGTATCTCGTTTGGTTGAATCAGGCAAATGTGCCATTTGACATGTGGTATTTGGTAAAAGCAGAGTGATAAAACGAGTTATTTCAAAATAACACATGGGTATAAGTTATTTCAAATAACTCGTTTTGAGTTATTTGTAAATAACTCACTGTCCAAATAACTCATTTCAGTAAATCGCTGACAAACGAGTTATTTGCGTCTAAATAATTCATTGTGAGTTATTTGAACCCAAATAACTCACACAAATACTCCATCCAAACGACCCTCTAAGCTTTTGTCTTCATTTGCTGGTGCATGTACCTGTGCATATATATAATAAAGCTATGGTGGTCACATGTAGCACAATATATTCATGTATTTGAGAACCTATGTATGGAACTAAGTGCTGTCTGAAATTGCAGACCACGTATGGGTAAATTTGTCGGGGAGTTTAATTACTGATATCGATACAGCCTGCAAGCTGTCATCAATAGTTTCATACATACAAACATAAGACCGATCGATCTATTTCCTGCAAGCTGCCATCCATCAACCGTCTCAATTCCCAAGGGTTTTTTTTTTTTTTCTTTCTTGGGGATGGAATTGTGTAGAGTTCGGATGGCAAAAATATCCGTAACCGTGGATATTCGCCCGAATTCGGCTTAATTGGGTAGGGTAGAATCCGAATCCGAAGGACATTTAGTGGGTATGGGTAAAATCCGAATTCGAATATTGCGGGTAATGGGTGGGCATGGATTTCTCACTATCCAACCCGAACCCGCCCGATTATACACATGCATATGTATTCTGTCTAGAAATAATCATTTTTTTCTCTAAATTTTTCTTATATTTAGCATATAAATATAATATTTTCATGAAATTGTGTTGTTTTAATTAATTTTCTTTATTCTAGTGAATTATTGTCGTACTTTTCTTCTTACGTAATGTGAGAATACGTGTGAATGTTAACATATTGGTTATAGTTATGAAGAAAAATCATTACCCATGGATAACCGCGGATACCCGAAACCCGAACGGGTATGGGCATGGTTTTAATTTTCTACCCGTTTCACATGTGGGTATGGGTATGGGTAAAACCGAACTACTTTGGGTAGGGTAACGGATATGCACTATCCGTCCGCGACCCGACCCATTGCCATCCCTAGAGTTCATTGATCCATGGAGAGGTAACAATGCATCTTTTACGATCACTATGTTCTAAGGGCACGAATTAGAAATCCATGGAGAGGTGGTGAAGCCCTTCTGGAACTCGACGAGTATGACTCACCATCGATGTTCTTCATCTTCGATGATGTCTTTCTATTCTCCTATGCTTTTCTAGTTCAATTTGTCTAGGGATGCGATTTCGATGATGTTCATGTATCTTTCGATGAATCAATGAAGATGTTATTTCGTTCTATGATATGATCTTCAATGGTTGTTACTTTAAATGCTTTATTGATCAATGCATACTTGAATCATCTATAGTTTATAATTAGTGATGCTTTATGACCAATGATGTTGTGTTTGTTCTATGTGCATGAATCTATGATATGTTACTATTGCCTTGTATATGCTAGTTTAGTTGGACGCATGTACATGTTTACATGAGATCAATGCTTGACTCTTAGATCAACGATGTTATAGACTATGAGTTATGGCTCAAGACCCCCACACTTAGCCATATGATATAACTTCTTTCTTTTCATTGACTAGGTGATGACATGAAGCGAAAGTACCCATTAGCTAGTAAAGTTCCTATTGCATGTGGCGAAAACTCGAGTATGATGGTTTTAGTGGAATGGACAGGCCACCATCATAGATGATGCATAGATGCATTTTAGTTAGGTGAATGGATAATGATTATCCACAAAACACTATCTAAGCATTCATTTACTTACTTGCATTGCTTTGTTTTCCATTTACTTGCATTAGTAGAGTATAACTCGACCAAGGGCACCTCAACCCCCCCCCCTTGTTTCATTTTGTTTGCATTAATTCATTCGACATATTTAGTTATTTAGGATTTTATTACTTGCATTGCACTATATTACGATCATCACACACAAGAAACAACGGGTTAGAGGATTCGCGGGCTAATCTCGTAATTCACGAGCATACGAAACATGTTGAAATGGAGTGCTATTTCATATGGGATCGTGTTAAGTCACGTGGCATTGCTCCATTCAAGGTCATCTCTCATCTTTACTTGCGGATCTCTTCACTAGAGGTTTGGGGACATAACGTTTTCATTTTATTGATATCCAAGTTGGGTGTTTATGATCTTCATGCTCCACCTTGCACGAGAGTATTGGAGAAAGCCCATCCACATCACGTCCTTGGCGAGTAGCAATGCGGCCCAACATCGGCCCATACAAGTTCCGCCGGGTTTTGTTCTTGTGTAACTACTAATTCTGTAACCCTACTTTTTTATAAGGATGAATTTATTAAAGGTAATAAGAGTAGTCCTAATACATAAGCAAAGCAAAAAAGAAAAGAAGATCAAAAGAATTGATCTCAAAAGAAAGAATGAAAAACCTGCGTACAAAGAAGATGAAAAGGAAACAACAACAACAAAGCAAAAAAGGACACTGAAAGAAAGATACTAAGAGGACTAGACCTCCCTAGTATTGAAGGCATCACAAAGGAACAACCTGACACAGTGGGACAACACCTGGGCGCAAAAACAAAGAAATCAGATCAAGCAGACTCAACAACCCAAAGAGAGAAAAGGATATCTCTGACAGTACATCACAAAAACCGGGAAGAAAAACTAATCATCCATTCTCAACAGGCAATCAGCAATCCAACTAGTGCCTTGATGCTTGGTAATCTTGTCAAAAGCCACAAGACAACTCATCACAATCTTCACAATTTGTCGAGAAACGAATTTGGATGTATGACTTTTATCCTTGAACATGCGCTGATTGCGTTCAATCCACACCTACCACAGAATAGCATGAAGACAGCAGTAGACAAACCAACCATCGACGCAATCAGGAGTTCTCGAAGGCCAAATTCAAATAGAATTCCTGATATCATCAGTTGGAGCATCAACAGCAGTACATCCTCTTCGAATGGAGTTCCAAACGCCATTAAACATAATTGCAATTGACGAAAATATGATTAATAGTTTCCTCTTCGCAATGGCAGAGGGCACAACGATTTGCGAGATTTCAACCTCTTCTTTTTAAATTATCAATGGTCAGGATGCTACTGTGGGTGACGCACTAGATGAAGAAACATATTTTAGTGGGGATAATAGGCTTCCAAACAGCAACAAAAGAAAATTTTGGAAGTCATGAAAACAAATCTTGCATCTGCGACCTGTATATGGAGGCAACAGAGAAACCATAATCTGGCTTGGGGGACCAGATCAACCTGCAAGGACTATTGGGCGATTGTTGATAGTCAAGGGAAGTGAGAAGTGAAATAAGATTGTTTCTTTCCCTTTCAGCCCCCCCCCCCCCCCCCCCCCCCCCCCCCCCCACTTAAGCTGAAATTGAGATTTAAATTCCATGAAACACTCTCACATGAGAAAGATAAGATATCAGAGATCCGTGCATCAAGAGAGGAAGCAGCAGCAGCGATTCGGGGGAAGACTTTGGCAAGTTTCGTACCGGGAATCCATGTGTCATGGCAAAAGGAGACGAACTCGCCTCCTCCTTTGTCAAAGTAAGCATGTTTCCAAAAATTGTCATATTCCTTGGTGATATTAGCGCATACAGAATCAGCAAAACCACTTCTAACACAACCAGATTGCCAACATGATATCGGGTTAGTATATTTGATACCAATGAGACTCCTCCACCATTTATCTCTCTCAACTGCAAATTTACAAAGCCACTTAGCAAGGAGAGAGCTATTGAAAGTAGCTAAATCAACAATTCCAAGCCCACCATTTGCTTTAGAAGCTTTGCAGATATCCCATTTCACAAGGGGCATCTTATGCCTGTTCTCAACGCCACTCCAAATGAAGTTTCTTTGAATTCTCTCCATGATGTCCAACGCCTTTTTCGGCGCTCTGAATAAGGAAAAATAGTAGACTGAAAGGCTTGATAGAACAACCCTATTGAGAGTGAGTCTACCTCCGATCGAAAATAACGACTACTCCAAGCTTCCCGTCTTTTCTTGTAATTAGAAATAATTGGATCCCAGAAGGAAACTCTATTAATCTTGGAGCCGAGAGGATAACCGAGATATTTAGGCGGATCTCGACTCCATCTACATACGAGAATGTCAGCATATAAGCCTGGTTCAGGAACATCACCAATAGTATACATGATCGATTTTTTCCAAATTAATCTTCAATCCCGTGACAGTTTGAAAACAAGCCAGAATACTCATGAGTAGCCCAAACATGGATCTCTCGTGGATCCACCAAATCAGACGCAGATCTCAAATCTCGAGGCCACCGAACGAGGGTCCACCAAACTGTTGTCCACCGCCCTGAACCGAATCAGGCTCGGATACCACTTGTTATAAATGCGCTGCTACGGAT